CGCCCTGCTGCCACTGAGGCACAGAGTCTATTCTGAGCTACAGCGCAGCCTTCATTCATTTCCACATAAGAGTTCGATATCTAATTTCCCTAAATCCTCTCAACCTCTTCTGCATATGCATTGCTTCTGGTCTGCATGGTGAAAGACAGGTTAGGATGTGGCAGGTACCTGGGATAACTTGGCTTCTTCCCATCCCAGAACCAAGACAGATGTCACTTAAGATGCTGAGACTTGATGCTGAAAAGAAATCCTGTTCTCCATAGTTTCTTGAGTGACTAGTACCAAATGATTAACATTGGTGTCTGGGAAGAAACCTATTTGCCAACTCTGAGTGAAGTTTCCACTTTCTTTTATTCACCTAAATATTTACATGGCCTTTGTGTTTTAAGGGTTCCCTCCCTGCTGAGATATGCTAATTGTGTACAACTTACAAAAGAGAAGGGGCCTCGTTCTAATATTTTGTTCAGAGCTCAGATGTCTTGTAGTTCTGCTTTCTTGAGTACTTGTTACATGTCAGGCTCAAAACATGGAATACTTCATTATTCAAAGAGCAGTTGTACTGGAAAAAAAAAGTGGTACTTAAAAATTTTTATAGTAACTGAAAGTGAAAGTTAGTTGCACAGTCATCTCCAACTCTTTGCGATCCCATGGACTGTAGCCCACCAGGATCCTCTGTCCTTGGAATTCTCCAGGCACGACTCCTGGAGTGGGTTGCCATTTCCTTCTCCAGGGGATCTTTCTGACCCTGGGATCGACCCAGGTCTGCAGGAAGATTCTTTACCAACTGAGCTAATAACTACTAGGGAGAAAATATGATTGGGATATTATTTGATTTTTTTTCATGATATAATTGGGATTTTGTCTTGAGAAATTAATCAAAAAGTATGAAAATAAATTTTATTTTTTCTTATGTTCAACAAAATTATATTTTGATTTTAATCATGCTCAGGTTTTTATTTTATTTTCATTTATTTTTATTAGTTGGAGGCTAATTACTTTACAATATTGTAGTGGTTTTTGCAGTACATTGACATGAATCAGTCATGGATTTACATGTGTTCCCCATCCTGAACCCCCCTCCCACCTCCCTCCCCATCCCATCCCTCTGGGTCATCCCAGTGCACCAGCCCTGAGCACTTGTCTCATGCATCCAACCTGGACTGGCGATCTGTTTCACACTTGATAATATACATGTTTCGATGCTGTTCTCTCAGATCATCCCACCCTCGCCTTCTCCCATAGAGTCCAAAAGTCTGTTCTGTACATCTGTGTCTCTTTTTCTGTCTTGCATGTAGGGTTATCGTTACCATCTTTCTAAATTCCATATATATGCATTAGTATACTGTATTGGTCTTGATCTTTCTGGCTTACTTCACTGTGTATAATGGGCTCCAGTTTCATCCATCTCATTAGAACTGATTCAAATGAATTCTTTTTAATGGCTGAGTAATATTCCATTGTGTATATGTACCACAGCTTTCTTATCCATTCGTCTGCTGATGGGCATCCAGGTTGCTTCCATGTCCTGGCTATTGTAAACAGTGCTGCAATGAACATTGGGGTGCACGTGTCTCTTTCAGATCTGGTTTCCTCGGTGTGTATGCCCAGGAGTGGGATTTCTGGGTCATATGGCAGTTCTATTTCCAGTTTTTTAAGGAATCTCCACACTGTTCTCCATAGTGGCTGTACTAGTTTGCATTCCCACCAACAGTGTTAAGAGGGTTCCCTTTTCTCCACACCCTCTCCAGCATTTATTGCTTGTAGACTTTTGGATAGCAGCCATTCTGACTGGTATGTAATGGTACCTCATTGTGTTTTTGATTTGCATTTCTCTGATAATGAGTGATGTTGAGCATCTTTTCCTGTGTTTGTTAGCCATCTGTATGTCTTCTTTGGAGAAATGTCTGTTTAGATCTTTGGCCCATTTTCTGATTGGGTCATTTATTTTTCTGGAATTGATGCTCAGGTTTTTAGAATGAAGAATATGTCAATGGATAAATATTTTTGCCTAAGTTTTTTAGTCAAGTTATATGACAGCAGAATGGTATATTCTTTGTTTAAAGTTTGAGCTCAACAGTAAAATCTGAAAAGGAGTCATTTTTTAAAAAGCTTCCTGAGATTTTTTTTTAATTTACTTTCCCAACAATCTCTCTTGACATTTGGAGAACTAAACTATTCCTTCTGAAGCAGCTGTCATCTCATCTTCTTGGTCCATTTTCTTTCCTTTTCTTAAATGTCTGACTGGTCTAACTCTGTCATGTTCTCAGTTGGCCAGTGTTTTGGCACTTGACAACAAGGTGTTCTCTAACATTACTTTTTCAGCTTCACTGATTATTTCATCTTTTGCAATATTTGCAGTAGATTCATTCATTCTCCCTCCCCCCCCCCAAAAAAAACCCCTATTTTTTGAGCATCTACCATGTGTTCTTTCAGAAGCTGAGATATAACTGTGAACAAAAGAGTCCAAAAATCCTTGCTTACATTCTTTTTCTGGGAGAGTAGAGAGAGCGTAAACATAGTGCTATGGAGAAAAATTAAGCAAGGAATTGGATAAAAAGTTTGGATGGAAGGGATTTGAAGGTTTAAAAAGAATGATCCAGGTAGGCTTTACCATACAATAAATTATCTCATGATCTAGTGACTTAGAATAACAAGTGTAAACAGTATACAAGTTTCCGTGTGTCATCAATCTGGTAGCAGCATAACTGGGTGTTTCTGGCTTGAGGTCTCTCCTGAAGTGGCTGTGAAGACTTCAGTTAGGGTTGTGATTCTATCTGAAAGCTTAACTGGGGCCAGCAGGTCCAGTTACTGGATGCTTCACTTAATTGCTCTTGGCAGAAGGCTTTGGTTCCTTGCTGCCTTTTGCAGAAGTCTTCTCAGTGGAGCTGCTTGAGTATCTTAGCAACTCAGCAGCTGGCTTCTCCCAAAGCCAGAGATTCAAGGAAGAGCAATGGTCTAGTGCCTTAGACCTAGCCTTGGACATTGCAGTATCCTAGTGATTATACAGTCAGTACAACTCAGTGTGGGCGGGAACAGCACAAGTTGTGAATATAGACAGCAAGGATCATTGGGGCCATTTAGAGGCTGACTGCCTCAATGGGTCTTGCCAAAGAAGTGATATTTGAGCATCATAGTGGTTATGGATTTTTAATTTCAACGTCTGTCAAAACAGGACTAACAAAGATTCAGTAGGTTTAATTGTTGAATGAAATAGAAAGAGTTATTTGGGTAGGAACCAGTTTTATAAATGTTCATTTCATTAATAATATATTTTTAAATAATATGCTTTCTTTTTTTAAATTGAGGTAATTTTGGAAAAATGGTTTGGGTTCTCAAGATCGTGGCTGAAATTCTGGAACAGAAACTATGAGGTCTCTGTATTTATGTGTTCATATGCGTCTATATGTGTGTTATAGATGTGTGATATTGCCTAAAGTTAATTCATAAAAGAGCTCTATTTAATTGACTTAAAGGAAATTAAATACTCAAAAAGACAAAATAATCAGGCCAGAATAAATTTCAGGCTCATATTATCTGAAAAATGTTCAGGACAAAATTGATATCTGGCATTGAAAGTGGTTTAAGCTTTTTGGTATGAGAAAACTAAGATCATGGCATTTGGTCCCATCACTTCACGGCAAATAGAAGGGAGTTGGTGATGGACAGGGAGGCCTGGTGTGCTGTGATTCATGGGGTCGCAAAGAGTCGCACACAACTGAGCGACTGAACTGAACTTGAAGTATAGGCAAAGAGTTAACATGTGATCAGGATTTTCTAAGATTGGATTAAATTTAGTTGGGTAAATGGATTTTGTTAGGAATGGGCTAAGACAAGGCTGGATTTGATTTCTCTCTGCAAAGTATTCCTGAAATGCTACTTTTGACAAACAGATTGAGATGAGTTTCTTCACCTGTAAGTGATTTGTATTTGCTTTTGAGATCTTGCCTGATAGTTAAGTTGGTAAAGAATCTGCTTGCAGTGCAGGAGACCCCAGTTCGATTCTTGGGTCGGGAAAATCTGCTGAATAAAAGATAGGCTACCCACTCCCATATTCTTGGGCTTCCCTTGTGTCTCAGCTGGTAAAGAATCCACCTGCAATGTGGAAGACCTGGGTTCAGTCCCTGGGTTGGGAAGATCCCCTGGAGAAGGGAAAGGCTACTCACTCCAGTATTCTGACCTGGAGAATTCCATGAACTACAGTCCATGGGGTCGCAAAGAGTCGGACACGACTGAGCGACTTTCACAATGTTGGCGTCTAACATTATGTAAGTTTCACATGTACAACATTATATTTCTTTTTTTTTTTTTATTAGTTGGAGGCTAATTACTTTACATCATTACAGTAGTTTTTGTTATACATTGAAATGAATTAGCCATGGATTTACATGTATTCCCCATCCCAGTCCCCCCTCCCACCTCCCTCTCCACCCCGATCCCTCTGGGTCTTCCCAGTGCACCAGGCCCGAGCACTTGTCTCATGTACCCAACCTGGGCTGGTGATCTGTTTCACCCTAGATAATATACATGTTTCAATACTTGTGTGTATACTATAGCATACTCACTACAAAAAACTTAGTTTCCATCCATCACCATCCAGTTGATCTCCTTAGGCTTTTTGCCCTACCCCTGCCCACCCCCACCACTTCTCCTCTGGTAACCACATTCATTAGTTCCATCTGTAACCCTGTAACTGCAGAGCTTGTATCACAAACCCCAGTCTAATTAGCACTCTTGTATTATTTCTCAGCTAATTTTCAAAGGCACCATGAAGGGCGGGTGTCTTTATCTCCACTTTAGAGATAAAGAAATCAAGACCAAGAGTAGGAAAGTGATGTCCCAAGGCCACGTACTTGGGAAGTGGCAAAGCTCGAATTTGAGTCTGTGTGTCTCTGACTGAAAAGTCCACATTCTTCATACTCTATCTGCCTATCAGTGTGTTCTTTCATTTTGCAAACAGAAAAATGGCAGCAAATCAATAATTTCTCTTTTCTCACCACCAGCTTTATCAAGCAGTAAAGGTGAATTCTTGCTCAATGGAGACTTTGTCGTCACGATGTCCAAAAGGGAAATCCGTATTGGGAATGCTGTGATAGAATACAGCGGGTCCGACAATGTTGTGGAAAGAATCAACTCCACAGGTCGCATTGAACAAGAACTTCTGCTTCAGGTAAAAACCTGGCCATGAGCCCATGCCCCTTTTCTAATTCTTTGAATTGCCATGCCCACATCCATCCTCTCCATTTTCTCTGCACATTCCAGGTGTTGTCGGTGGGAAAGTTATACAACCCCGATGTGCGCTATTCTTTCAATATTCCTATTGAAGACAAACCCCAACAGTTTTACTGGAACAGTCATGGACCCTGGCAAGCATGCAGCAAACCCTGCCAAGGTATCTACTTTTAGGTTGAGTTCGGGGGATTAGATGTGTTTTTTAATTCTTTATTTCTTTCTTTTTTATGGAGGCAGCTAAATGCATGTAATCTATACATTTTTCTGTCTGCATCCATTTTCTAATCTTTCTCTACCTCTATATGGTCACTTTGGGCTGGCAAGTTGAGCTGTTTAAGGTATTTAGGACATGTTTGGTTTCCTCATCATGTGTGAAGCCAAGCAAAGTCAGCTCTGCCAAATTGACTTTCCAGAGACATAAATTTAGTAGTCATATTATATGCAATTTATCTGGTTTCCTTTTGTCTAATTTATGAGTTGGCAAACTACAGCCAGTGGGTCAAATTCAACTCACTTCCTGGTTTTATAAATAAAGTTTTATTGGAACACAATTTTTTACACCTGTAAGTGGCTGCTTATGTCCTATAACAAGAGTTTAGTAGTTGCAATAGAGATCATATGGCCCACACACCCAGATATATTGACTATCTAACCCTTTACGGAAAACGTTTGCCAGTCACTAGTCTAAATAGTTGATAGAATAGGCTACTTTGTCTGAAAAATATTTTTTCCTCCTTGCTTAGGCGAGCGGAAACGAAAACCTGTTTGCACCAGGGAATCTGATCAGCTTACGGTTTCTGATCAAAGATGTGATCGACTGCCTCAGCCGGCACCCATTACTGAACCTTGTGGCACAGACTGTGACCTGAGGTGAGGCCAGTGTTTGCTCATGGTCTTTCTTACTGAGTTGTGAAGGTTTTGCAAGGAGCAGGTGGGGTATTAGTATTTAGGCCTCTTCCTTGTGTTTCAGTGAAATAAGCTTTAGTCAATTTTCCATCCCTCTGAAACTGATTATCTAAGCATATGCCTGCAGATTTCTTGTTCTTCTTCTAAGAATTAAAAAAATAGTTAATACAGTATGGCAGCTTCCCAAGAAAGTTCTCATTGGACCCTCACAACTTACTGCATAGGTATTATTATGGCTGAGTTACACTGAATGCAAAAGTTTGTGTTTTTTGTTGGTTTTTTTTTGAAGTTTTTTTTTTTTTTCTGTTTGAAAGACTACAGAAAAGGAGAACCTCATCCATCAAAGTACCTTTAATAGTTAGTATCCACCCAGAATGTTTATCACCAGTATAAGAAGTTTTATATACATGAAAGTTGCAGTACACTAAGGTACTCATGGAAAGAACTAGAGGAAAATTTATATACAGATGGCAACCCACTCCAGTACTCTTGCCTAGTAAATCCCACGGATGGAGGAGTGTGGTAGGCTACAGTCCATGGGGTCACAGAGAGTTGGACATGACTGAGCCACTTCACTTTTCACTTTCATGCAAACAGTTCAATATTTAAGAAAAGTATGAAATTTGAGGCAGCAAATGGTGAGTGAGTAGAGAATTATAAAGCTTTTCCATTTTCCTGCAATTGACCATGTCATGTTTGAATGTTCACCAGCCTGGGGGTTCCTTTGTATAGTCTACATGTCAGTTAAATGCAGATAAGATAAGCTGGTGCTTGTCCTCCTTTCACAGAAGAAACTACCAGCAGGGAATAGTTTGGGAAATTGTTAAGGTCTCATCATTCATAAATAGCAAAATGAACACAGAGATATTTTTCAGGTTCTGTGTCACCGTGCCAAATCCTGTCAAGTGGTACTGTCAGCTCCTAGGGCTGGAGTAAAGATATTAAGTACCCTCAAGGCTCTGAGAGGAGTGCTGTGATTAGCTAGTTATGTCTGAGAGTATTACTCTTTAGGCAGTATTAATTTGCTTTGAGCTATGTCCATATAAACCCATTGCTTCAGTCAGTGGAGTTAAATTAGTTAAATTAGACTTAAAGTCTTTTCAAAAAATAATTAGCTAATTGCTGAACTGCATTAATCACTAAAACAGGGAAAAAACATTGAATTGGTAAATAGATTGCTTGATTTAGCCTCATTAAATTGGGAAAGATAATATAAGATTAGCCTTATTTCAAATTATCACTGAAAATAATAATAAACTAGTATTAATTAGTACTGTGAATATCATTCATCAGTAGAGTTGACCATTTACTAAGAACCATATTTAAACATTATGTTTTGATTCCTGAGTTGGGAGGATCCCCTTGAGGGGAAAATGACAACCCACTCCAGTATTCTTGCCTGGAAAATTCCAGGGACAGTGGAGCCTGGTTGGCTACAGTCCATGGGGTCACAGAGATTCAGACACAACTGAAGTGACTGAGAAAGCACGAATTATCCTAATATTTGTATATTAATTGTTATATAATCTTAGTTAACATCCTACTTATTTATCTATCCTATAAAATTAATATATTAATTCCTCAAACAGCACAGTGGTGAAGTAGTATTATTATCTCCACTTCGGAAATAAGGAAAACAGAGTCTGAGAGAGCTATGTCAAAGGTGCTATTCTAAATTCCCCATTTGGAGAAAGTCACCTTTTTTTTTTTAATACTAGCTTAAGAAAACTAAAAACCTAAAGTGTACTGATACCGAAGAAGGAAACTAGCTCGGGGAACAGGCTTGGATGATGATGGCACCTCTGGCTGATTAAAGAATAGGAAGGGAAGGAACTTTAGCCTTGCTTTTTGATACAAGTATCTATGGTAGAAGTGACACACCTTGAGGATAATAATTTAGAAATAAAAAGAAAAAATGGTAAGTTTACTGCTAGTTTTCACAGCCTTATAACTAGACAGGTACATGCTCGCGTCTTAAATTAAGTAGAAGATCATGTTTGTTTTTTGGCTGCACTACAAGACGTTTGGGATCTTAGTTCCTCAACCAGGAATTGAACCCAGGCCCTTAGCAGTGAGAGCAAAGTACTAACCAGTGGACCATCTGGGAATTCCCTTGAAGATCATGTTCATTTGTTAGCATTCAAATGTATATCTTGCTGGTGTTTACAGATTGTTGGAAGAATAAAGTTATTCACTGAAAAACATGCAAAGGCAGAAACAAAGTTCAAATAAGCATTACTGTCTTCTCTCTTTCAACCTGAAAATTGCTATTAATTGTGGTTTATACTAATTATTGCCAAGTATCTGTGTGCAAAATGGAAAAATAGTAGAGAGAATTGCACTGGTTGCTCAAACTCTTAGTTTTCCCCAAAACATTTTTATGGAACACTAGTTCAGCAAGATGATCCAAAGCAAACCAGTATGTGAGAAGAATTACTGTCTCCTCCACTATGTGAAGATTTGTAGCTTGGATTAACGATTTGAGGGCCTTGAGAAGTTCTGCAATAGAAGAACCTACTTATATCAGTAGTTTCCCAAGTTATTTAATGCCACAATGCCCCACACACCCACAAAGAAATACGGTTTTTTTCTGTTCCCATTTATTAACAAACACTTTGCCTTTCTGCAACATAAATTGTCACGTGACATGAATGAATGAATCCAAAACACTGAAGGTGAGATGACTTTCCAGTTGAGAATGAATGAAGTGAGTGAGAGCATTCTGAGACCTTGCCTAAGGCAGTACTGTGACCTTTCCACAGACCACATTCTCTGCCCGAATTCCGGGGACTGTGGACATCAGGGGACTCTAGCACACTGTTCCAGCCCGAGCTGCTCGTGTGCTTTCTTGTGGGGAGGGGAGGAGGATTCCTGCCTCCCTTTTCCAGGATGGAAAATAACCTTTCCACAAGGAAGTGATGATGAAGGCAAAGAGAAGGTAACCAGGAATCAAAGGGCAGATGGAAGTTCCAGATGCCTCTGTTCAATTGGTCCACGTTTCTTGGCTCACTTCCTTAGGGAAGTGAGAGTTTGCCCAGATTAAACTTTGACAGGATGAGATAAAGCACTGTTGTACAATCCCCATATAACATTTTCCGGTTAGAACAAATCCGCCAAATACTATGTCACTCTCACAGAACATCTCAGTAGCCCACTTTATATGCCCAATGTAGAAGTGGGTCAACTCTGACCTACTTTTGGGCATTTGTGAGAAATTCTGAGATAAGCGTGTGTCCAGTGCTCCTCCTTCCTTCCTGAGTATAGATGGGAGAGCTCTTAGGGCTTTGGTGTTCAACAAACCACCCAATTTCTGAGCTGGAGAAAATTAATGATCAAGAGTGAAATCATCGTTTTGGGATTGCTAAATTTGATCAACGTAACATGTCTCAAGCTCATTTATTTAGACTATTCTATTCAAGTAATTTTTTTTTCTTTTCTCCACCCATTGCTGGAGTGTTAAAAGAGCCACTTGATTTATCAGTACATACTGAGCACCTCCTGTGTGCCAAGAAGGGCTTATTATATGTGCTAGGGATACAAAGTTTACAAAAGTTTGTAGACTCAAATCTAATTTTAAAAGTGAATGATTGTGGGACCGGAAGGGATAGATAGGTGGAGCACAGAGGATTTTTAGGTCCATGTGATACTATAATGGTGGACATGTTTCACTATACATATGTCCAACCCATGGAATATATAGCATCAGGAGTGAACTCTAAGGAAAACTGTAGACTTCAGTGATACTGATGTGTCAACACCGGTCCATCAGTGTGACAGATGTTACACTCTGCTGGGGGTGTGTTGATAATCAGGAGTCTGTGCGTGTGTGGGAGCAGGGGTGTACGGGAACAGGGATGTGGGGAAATCTCTGCACCTTCCTCTCAGTTTTGTCATGGAACCTAAAACTGTTCTAAAAACATTAGTCTTTAAAAAATACTGTAATTGGGTTATATATATGGTCCATACAATCTTTATTCACCAGGTAAAGTTTATGATATTTGAAATTCAATTATAGTTCCAATTAAGTATTTAATTAATTGCAATCCATTCCTTTGTTAATTCATAGAATGTCCATTGAGCATTTTCCAGCACGTGGCCACCTACAAGTTTCCGAGGGAATGTTTCCAACAGTCGTTTGTTCTCTGTTAAAAAGCAGCCTACATGACTAACAAAATGCTGGGTTGCATGAGTCTTTTAAATATAAATTTTTTTTTTTTTTTGCTCCGTTGAATTCCATTTTTTTTTTTCTTTTTAGTTGCTTGAATTTCACATTGACTTTATTGGGGGAGAATCTTCACAAAGATAGAATCTCTGACTGTCATTTTGTGACTTTCATGTATGTTGGCAGTGATGAAAAATACTGGAAATGTTGGTTTCAAATTGAATTTCAGTAACTGACTGTGGTTTGGGGTTCATGGTATTTAAGGAAAAAAACAGAATTCAGCTCTTCTCCCAATTGAGTCTAGATAAGACATATATTTAACAGTAATACTGGTTTCTCCCCCATGGTTTGTGCATAGGTGGCACGTGGCCAGCAGGGGTGAATGTAGTGCCCAGTGTGGTTTAGGTTACCGCACATTAGACATCTACTGTGCCAAGTACAGCAGGCTCGATGGGAAGACTGAGAAGGTTGATGACGGCTTTTGTAGTAGTCACCCCAAACCAAGCAACCAGGAAAAATGCTCAGGAGAGTGTAACACTGGAGGCTGGCGCTATTCAGCTTGGACTGAAGTAAGTTGGTTCTCATTCAGAGAGTCTTCTTGGATGTTAAATGTGATTAGCTGATGATGGCTCCTTACAGAGCTGCGTTGAGGAAACCTCATTAAGAGTACCATGATTGACTTATAATGCCTGCCTTCATTAAAACTACAGAAAAGAGTAATACAATTGATGTGTAATGTCTGGTGTGGGCATAGCATATGGAAAATTGGAAGTGGTGGAACAACTTAGCCTAACACTTTCTTCACATCCCACAGGCCATTTCTGATTTTGTTGTCCTATGCCAATTTGCTAAATATTGGCTTTGTTATGAACCTGGTAAATAAACTGATACCATAAACATATACCCCTAAAAAGAACAAGTAGAACTGACCAGGCTTTGTTGATTGGTTGTTTCCTTAGAATTGGAAGAGACAAGATAGCCTAGCCAGTATCTTGAGCATGCTTGATGAGAAACTTAGCAACACTTCAGCTTAATTTTTTTTTTCCTTTCAGTGTTCTAAAAGCTGTGATGGTGGAACCCAGAGGAGAAGGGCTATTTGTGTCAACACCCGTAATGATGTACTGGATGACAGCAAATGCACTCATCAAGAGAAAGTCACCATTCAGAAGTGCAGTGAGTTATCCTGTCCAGAGTGGAAATCAGGAGACTGGTCAGAGGTGAGATGGGAAGGCTGTTAATTCCCCAACAGGTCATCTCTGATGCTCACTTCTGAGCCTCTCCAGGTCAGTCCAAAGTTAAACCAGCTGCACCTCTCTCCCACCTCCCATTGAAGAAACAACTCTTCTTCCACCCACCCTGTGATTGTTTTACTGGACATGACTGGTCCATGAGTGGTCTCAGAGTCACAGTGGGTTTAGCTGTATCACCCACCATAATAGCTTCTATTGGGGATCTTTGAAGTTTCAGCCCCTCACCTTCTCTCCTCTTTCAGACCTAGCTAAGTTGCTGTAAAGGAAATCAGAGCTTTATTAATTATAAAGCTGCACTGGTTTAGATTTGAAGTTTAAAAAAAATGAGGTTCCCTGATTGCTTATCTTTGAAATGAGAGAATTGAACCCTCGTAAGTGACCTATTTGATTACCCATCCAGTTGCTAGTAGAAAACTTGGGAAAAAAGAGAAAGGACCAGGCTGAGTGTTCCAGGTTTATGCTTTGTTTGTCTCTTATTTGATCATATCAAATTGTTTAGCAAGGTGGTCCCGGGACAACAAGAGAAAGAAGATGAAGGCTCTTTCTCAATTTTATAGACAGTGCTAATATTTCCCAGTAAGATTGTCTTTGAGCAGGCTCCCCCTTCCCCCCCACCTCAAATGCACCTTCCTTCAGAGGAACACATGGCAGGGGAACAGAAATTGTCTTATTTATTGGGCCAAGTCAGGAATGTGGGGGGAAAGAGATTTCTACAGCTTCTGTATCCATTCCCTTATCTCATTCAGGTAAGTGCAATAGTAACTATTTACTTTCAACATTAAATAAAATCTCAGTCTTAAAACAATACTGTTAATGTCTCTAAATGGCAGCAAAGTAGCAGTACATGTGATTAACAGTGTCTGACTCCTGGACAGAGTAACAGGAAAGCTAGTGATTGTGTTTATGCTAAAAGCAGCCTTAGCTTCGATCTCGATCCCATATTTGGTTTAAAAAAAAAAAGATGAAAGAAGGCATTGGATTTAAGTTCTACCTAGATAGCTAATACTAGATAAAGTGTCATATCAAGTTAGGTAACAAACCTTTCCAAAAATACATAATGAAATAGAGGTGGGAAATATCAAAATATATATTCAGTATGATCCCAACGTTCATAGCTTAAAAGAGGAAGAAAAGAGCAATATTTTAATAACAGTATTCCTAGGTAGATAGTGAGACTTGGGGCTTGTTATAATTTTCTATTTTATGTTTTTCTGTATTTTTCAAGTTGTCTACAATGAATGTAGATAACAATGATTATTATATTTAACACTCCTTAAATGAACAGGAACTAAGCACTTCACTTGGGTTTTTCTCATTTAGTTTTCACAGTTACTGGCCATTAGCACTATTGTATTCCCATTGTACAGCCAAGAAAACTGAAGTACTGGAAGATCACTTAACTTACTATCCATAGTCAATTGTATTAGGTTAAAACCCAAGTTAATCTGACTCGTAAATTCCCTACCCTTAACTCGTATGCTACTAAACCATGGATGCTATTTTTCAGGATTTCAGAGCATGATGCTGTGTGAAGTTTATGCTGTGCTTGAAACTGGCCCAGAGCCTGGCTAAAGACAGAATGAATGATTGAGTGACAGAGCAAAAAGCATAAGTCTTGATATGTTTACAGATTGCAACAAGAGAGAGAGAGATTTGCCCTGGGAAAAGAGCACACCTGGCTGTGCTAATCGATGACTAATCCGCAAAAACCAGAGTGCGTTGTTCAGAAACGACCCTGACCAGCTGTGCCTTTTCTTACAGTGCTTGGTCACCTGCGGAAAAGGGCATAAGCACCGCCAGGTCTGGTGTCAGTTTGGCGAAGATCGATTAAATGATAGGATCTGTGACCCTGAGACCAAACCAACCTCCATGCAGACCTGTCAGCAGCCAGAATGTGCGTCCTGGCAGGCGGGTCCCTGGGGACAGGTATTTTGAATGATAAAGTTCTTAACTACATTCTTTCCTTCTTATCTGGAGCAGGCCTGCAGAGGGACATTCCAGTAGCAGGGACTTCACCACTGTAGCATGTGGCATGCGCAGTACCTCTGAGGCGCCAAGCGCTGGAAACTCTGTAACTGGTTTGCCACACTTCTGAGGGTTGTTTCCCCTCCTGGAGCTGATCATTCCCTTTCCAGGCCCACGTGTGGGCATTCGCCCTTGGGTTAAAACTGTAGCTTGAGGACACGCACATTTGAACAAATTCACAACAGATCTCCTTGTGCCTGGCTGATGCTATCTACTAGCATGTGGCTGTGGGTCAGTAACAGAATGTGATCCAGCGCCAGTGTCTTTGGCAGGAGGGTTTCGGCTGGGATTTGAAAGGGATGTTTTAGCTCCCAGTGTCATGATTCCTAAGCTCGCCTCTTAAAAATAAGTTGGGCTTTTCAAACAAAATTAATTAGATCAAAGTTTGCAGGCATCCTCTCTCTTTGAAAGAATCTCTTCCAAGTCCCTATTGTTGGTTTCACAGTCACTTGAACTATTCTGAAAGGAGAGAGTGAGAATCTCCCTTGGGCTTGCATTTAAGAAGCCCCGACTCTTAGAATTAAGTCTTTCCTAATATAGAAACAAAAGCGTTCTGGGTACTATTTAAGTAGTGCTCCAAGTTCCCTAGAGAAGCAAAGCAGCTGTTTGCTGTCACTTACGTAATCTCTCTAAGACTGCCTCTCCCTCCACCCAGTCCAACCACAGTCACAGGCTCTTCAGCCCCCTGGCTTATGTCTTCATTTCCAGCATGCGTGCAGTGAATGAGAGTAGCTTTATTACTGCATCCTTACAGTTTCTGCCATTCACACTGGGACTCTTCTGAATATGCCCTGTTAACACAGCATCCCTGGTGGTCAGAATGGTTGATCATATTTGATCACACTTAGTAAGTGGGTGGAGTCTGCCTACAATCCATACCTTGCCCCCTTTTTGATTCCATCTGCATATCTCTTGTGAATAGTAACAGGTGGAGAGTGCAGCTCAGGGCCACTGTTAAGATTTGAAGATAACATCTTTTAGAACTAACTGGCCTTTTTTTTTTTTTCATGTCTATACCATGTCAGTCCTAGCCAGAGATTTGTCCTTCCTTTGACTAAACATGCAGTTCACGGCAACCAACTGTTCTTTGTTGTTTTTTTTTCCCCTGAATATTATTGAAGGATAGTTCATGTTTATAAGAGAAGTTTTGCAAAAAGCAATTCAGCAAAAAGGAGATAGCCATACTCCTAACTCTGTATTTCAGAGTTAATACATTTATGATTTTCTTATGTTTTAAAAACTAGTATTAGAATTGTACTTATTTTGTTAATTGAAGTAAAACTCATGTAACAAAATTAACCATTTTGAAGTGAACAAATCAGTGACATTTAGTACATTCTGAATGCTGTGCAACCTCTACCTCTGTCTAGTTCTAAAACATTATATCATGCTAAAATACTCATCAAGCTGTTATTCCCCATTTCTCCTTCAACCCTGTAGCCAGCATTCTGCTTTCTAGCTCCACGAGTTTACTTATTCTAAGTATTTCATACAAATGAAATCATACAATACATGATTGTTTGTGTCGCCAGCTTCTTTCACTTAGCATGTTTTTGAGGTTCATCATGCTGTAGCCCACATCTATACCTCATTCCTTTTTATGTCTGCATAATATTCCATGTGTGCATATACCGTAATTTATCCATTTATCCCTCCAAGGACATTTGGGTTGTTTGTACTTTTTTGCCATTGTGAATAGTGCTTAGTGAAAAAAAGTGAAGTCACTTAGTTGTGTCCAGCTCTCTGGGACCCCATGAACACCAGGCTCCTCCGTCCATGGGATTTTCTAAGCAAGAGTACTGGAGTTGGTTGCCATTTCCTTCTCCAGGGAATCTTCCCAACCCAGGGATCGAACCCATGTCTCCCGCATTGTAGACAGTCGCTTAACCGTCTGAGCCCCCTAGGGAAGTCCAAATAGTGCTTAATTCTTCTGTAAATGTTTGGTAGAATTTACCAGTGAGGCCCTCTGGTCTTAAGACTTTTTTTTATTATGAGATCTTTGATTGCTGAGTCAATATTTTTACTTCTTTTCTGTTTCTTCTTAAGTCAGATTTTGTGATTTGTGTGTTTCTGGATGTGATTTGTGTGTTTCTGGATAGTTTGTATGGGTTTGGAAATTCATGTGTTTCATCTCGATTGGCTAATATGTTAGCATAGAATTGTCCACACTACTTTCACTATCCCTTTTTATTCCTATAGAGTCAGGAGCAGTACTCTCACTTTCATTTCTGATTTTAATTGTTCGCATCTTCTCTGTTTTACTTTTAATCAGTCTAGGTAAAGGTTTATAAATTTTATTATCTTTTTAAAGAACCCTCTTCTTTTTTTTTTCATTTATTTTTATTAGTTGGAGGCTAATTACTTTACAATATTGTAGTGGTTTTTGTCATACATTGACATGAATCAGCCATGGAGTTACAAGTATTCCCCATCCCAATCCCCCCTCCCACCTCCCTCTCCACCCGATTCCTCTGGGTCTTCCCAGTGCACCAGGCCTGAGCACTTGTCTCATGCATCCAGCCTGGGCTGGTGATCTGTTTCACCCTAAATAATATACATGTTTCGATGCTGTTCTCTTGAAACATCCCACCCTTTCCTTCTCCCACAGAGTCCAAAATTCTGAAGAACCCTCTTCTTTAAGAAAACTTGATTCTGCCACTTTCTGCCAGTTTGATAGCTTTTTCAGAGAGGGGGAATGGATCAGTTCTTTACTATCTGCCCTTTCCATGACATCACTCCCTCTACTTACTGTTTTTTAACCGCTTTTAAATATAACAGTTAGCCTTAGTGGACATATTTCCTTTATGATCTGTTTGCTATGGTGCATTGAATTGACTTTGGTTCTTCCCTATTTAGGTGGTTTCTAATATTTTGTCTTTTATAAATAATATTGTGATGACCATTCTTGTATAGAAATATTGATGCAAACTGTACTTCTTTAGGGAAATTTTTCAGAAGTCAAATAAGAACTTTACAAAGTACCTATTTTAGCCACAGCATTCTGCTAGGTATAGTGTGAAAGATATAAAAATGATTGACATGTACTCCCCTCCTTCCAGGGGTTCACAGTCCAGGCATTAAACTACACACCTCGTTCCTATGTCAGGTAGAAATAATTCCACGTGATGTCTTGATAATTGATCAGTGTAATTTGTACAAAGTAGAATTACCTGCTCTTAACTAATTTCTTGGGAGTGCCAGTCCTCTGGCCCACTAGGATGGAAATATTTTTTCTCTTGTGAATGTTACGGGTGAAGTTAGGGAAAGAGAACATTTGCTAGAGTGTATATACTTCCTGTTTTCTTTCTCCCCCTCAGTGCAGTGTCACTTGTGGACAGGGATACCAGCTAAGAGCAGTGAAGTGCACCATTGGGACTTACATGTCAGTGGTGGATGACAGTGACTGCAACGCAGCGACTAGACCAACTGACACCCAGGTAAGTTTCCTTTGTCAACGTCGGTTATTGGCCTTGGGCACTAAGATGCCAACACTTCCCAGGAGCTCAGTCAAAACAGAAGTCCTTTCATAGGTAAGTGTGTAGGTAGAGGAAACAGTCGGTTAACTAAATTGTTCTGGATTTACTTATGTGTTATATTCTGGATCTAATTTTTTGATGTAGCACTTTTGTCTTCTCTATTTCGTTGAATTGTATGTAGATTCTTAATTCTGATTCTTCCTAGGTGGTGAAGATTGACTCTTCGTGCTGGTTTTCTTGAGCTTAGATTTTTTTTTTTTTTAATAATTCCAATGTAGGGTTCAGCAAATGGTATCATATATTCAGGCTGCATGTGTTGGAGCTCTCTTATTCCAGCTCACAAGTGATGGTTGGTAAATTTTCAGAGATTTTGCAAGCTCGTTGTTACATACTGCCATTGTTGAAAATTGAAAATAAAAATGTATAATTAAATAGATAATATTAAAAATAGGTTGAGAAATATTCAGAACTTATCACTTTCTAATTATCTTCCTATATTTTACTATTTTATTTCTTATTACTATGATTTACATTATATTTGTATGTATTTCCATGGTGAAAATACTATATAATGGTGAACCGTTGCACATCCTTTCCCAGTCTGTGTTCATTGATACTAACTTTTAGGTTGACATTGGCCATAGTGAGAGTACTTACACCACAGAAATCAGCAAATGCTGTGAGTCAGAGTTTAATTGATTTTCATGTTGATTATTTTGGCTTAAAAAGGTGATGTAGCAAGTGCTAATAATGCAGACTCAACTTTAAACAGTCTTATGTCTTCAGCTATTTTGTTGTGAAGAACACACACAAAAAATTAAAGAAATATCTTTCTGTTATTTGAAAATTATTGCCTGACTCAGCAAAGAAATTGTTCATGTCATTGGTGAATGAGTGAACTTCTGACATGCATCTTCCTTGTTTCTTCTTCACAGTACTCTTAGTTGTAAGCAAAATATCAGCTAACATTCATGTCACAACTACTCTGGTCTAGCAGTGACAGCCATAGTTTGGCACTAGATTCAGGAGCTCAGCAAAAATCAACAAAAATAATCTGTAAGAATTAATTGGCTCTATGGAATGTAAAATTTTAAGTTTTATATCTTATTACTATTTGTAAACTTTATGCTACACATTATTTATATCAGAAAAAAACTCATAATCATATATGTACACACACACACATACTTGTATCTATAAACACACCTGTTTCTCAAGAGATCTAGTTGATAATCATTCACCAGTATACTGTTCAATGTGGACCTCGATTCTGGTATCATTTATATAAAGAGAGTATGTCATGAGAAACGGGTTTTCACATCAGCTTTGCTAATTGCCAAAGACAGGATTTGAATCCACGCTATGCCAGAACTCACGCTCTGAGGCCGCATCTGGCAGCGGTACTGCCTCGCTCTGAGACCCTCACTCTGCCACTTTGCAACTTGGGTCGTTGATGGATGAAGAGTCTCAAAAGGAAATGAGTATGGTGCTGTAGTTCATGTTGTCATCACTGATCAGCTAACCAAATACCACATGTGACTTGTGTCATTCTTAGTCTTATTTATTGAAATGCTCCAACCCACTGCATGTTAACTGGGAAGTATTAGCTGTGACATCTGAACAATCTAAGAAATGAGGGCTTAGCAACTCCCTTAGAAATTCACAAAGTATATTTCTAAGTTATTCAGTAATATTCGTGGACTGACTATAGGGACGCTTCTGCAATTGTAGCATGTGAATAAATTTTTCACTGTGTGCCAAGTTCCCTGTGCCTTTCTTTGGACCCAGGCAGAGGAATTGGCAAGGTCTGGAGCCAGATAACGGAATTTCCTGTCTGGTCTGTAAGCTTCCTAAAGTCACTTCAGCCTTAAGCCTCTAGCACTTTGCACTGTGCCCAGGGCTTCCTGGGAATTTAATGGGTATGCGTTTAATCGAAGAACATTTGATAACCACTGATGCTTGGAATAGTGATCAGGTGTGGACTTCCATTTTCCCATTTGTAAATCTGGGAATATTACCTATGAATGGATAACCTCAATCCATTATAAGAATTTCCTCTGATTGAGGGATGTGATACAAATTCTAGGCTTTGGGATATTGAACACACCTCTTGTAGCTAGATTTGACCTTCTTCAGGGCTTCAGGAAGTATCTTCAGGTACACTTGGAAAGCACATTCATGGTTAGCAAAATCTGACTAGGAAATGAAATGTAGGAACAGAATTTGGCATTCAGAAATTTTTTAAGTAATAATGATTTTAAAAGGGCATATTGCTTTTTCCTAAATTATGTGCCATTTTATCTTTCTTCACACAAATAGGTAAATAAATATGGTTTTGAAAATCATGAAGTAGGGAGTTCCCCGGTGGTCCAGTGGTTAAGATTTACTGCTTCCACTGCAGGGAGCACAGTTTTGATTCCTGGTTGGGAAACTAAAATTGCAAGTGGCATGAGGCATGGCCAAAAAAAAAAGAAATTTACAAAGTAAATTCTTGCTCTGTATTAAGGAACCCACAAAGGGACTCAGATTATATCCCATTTTACAGTTGAATTTGTAGCTGAAACTGAGAGATGTCATGTGAAAATGAGTGTTAGTCACAGTCTTACCCAACTCTTTGCAACTCCATGGACTGTAACCCACCAGGTTTCTCTGTCCATGGAATTTTCCAGGCAAGAATACCCACTCCAGGCAAGAATACCAAGAGTGGAGTAGGTTGCCATTCCCTTTTCCAGGGGATCTTCCCGACCCAGGGATAGAATCCAGTTTTCCTGCATTGCAGCCAGATTCTTTACCGTCTGAGCCATTAGAGAAGCCCAAGATGTCATGTGACTTGTCATGTGACTTGCCCCAAATCACACTGAAGCCTGAGATCTTGTAATTATCAGTCCTTATATTCGTATGTGCCGTGGCTGAAAGGTAACGTTGGCTTTTTCCTCCCATCCTCTTCTAGGACTGTGAGTTGCCATCTTGTCACCCTCCCCCAGCTGCCCCGGAAGCAAGGAGAAGCACACACAGTGCACCACGGACCCAGTGGCGATTTGGGTCCTGGACTCCAGTAAGAAGTAGAATGAAGAAGTGGGGAGGGTGGAGGGAGAGGCAGATATTCTCTGACATGACTTTAGGAAGTAGGTTTCTATCACGTGAATGACCATTTCAAATAACCTTTCTGCATTATTTCACCCCAACCCCCAGTGCTCAGCCACTTGTGGAAAAGGTACCCGGATGAGATATGTCAGCTGTCGGGATGAGGACGGTTCTGTGGCTGATGACAGTGCCTGTGCGACCCTGCCTAGACCAGTGGCAAAGGAGGAATGTTCTGTGACTCCCTGCGGGCAATGGAAGGCCCTGGACTGGAACCCTGTAAGCAAGTGAATTCTTTGAAATTGGGAAAGGACTGGGGGAGCTGTAAGAAGAATTACTAGTCATGGGTCAAGAAGGTCAATCAGTACTATTTTAGAATTGGACTTTGGTTTGTGAGTTACTTTTCTCCATCTGTGTGCAGCTGGTATGAATCGTAGCCAGATGTGCAAGAAATGCACATTTCTTCAAAATGTGTAAATCAACTTACAGTCTACTTAAGCCCACATCCTGTTGGGCTGATTTAAAAATGCAGTTTTAATTGAGCCAAGCCACATTAGAATGTAGTAGGCTTGTGGAGTGCCAGAGAGGAGTGGCAGGGAGAAGTAGGGGAGAAAAGGGGAGCCTCAGTTTGAATCTGGGTGCCTCCTGCACCCTATGGTTCCCGGAAGTCCTGTGCCTCTGCTTCCCTGCCAAGAGTAAGAAGTGGGAATCCTCAGCTAATGCTATGGACCCAGCCTCCTGTGCCCACTGAGAATCACCTGTGGACTTTTATAAAAATAGAAAAAGCCTTTCTCTTCGAGTAGCTGCTGCTTTCTGCCTTGCAAAACGCTTCTGAGTCCAGGAAATCCAAAGATCAGGACAAGTAAAGAGAATGGAGATGAATATCTCAATAAACACCATCAATACATACTTGAAATCTGAAAGAAAATCCAAATCTGTGAAAATCCAAATCTTTGGATTCAGAGAGAGCTGTGTAAACATCCAGACCTTGACGTTAACTGGCTGCATGACCTTGAGCAGTCTGGTGTAAATCCTTGAGCTTTTAATTTCTTCTGCTCTTAAAAGAGGCTAAAAAGAATAGCTTATAAGGTTGTAAGGATTGTTTGAGAACCTGTCTGTTAAATGCTTAGAATGAAGAAGGTGCTCAGTAAATGGTAGATAACCTCACTTTCATGCCCTGAGCTTCCAAACATACACACACAAATGTCTATCACATCCATCAGTCTACTCACCAGGTATTTATAAAACTTACTAAGAAAGGGCAGTCACTGACAAATAAGAAAGCCCTTGCCTTTATGAAGATCATGACAGTGTCAATTCCAGTCAGTGAGCAAATAATAATATAAATATATGATACAGCACCAGATACTGATGAGTACTAGAAAAAAGGTCAAGCACAGTGATGGTGGAGAGAAGGAGATGATGTGCTTTTAGAAAAGGTAGTCCGAAAAGTCCCCACATTGCACTGACCAGGGCTTGCATGAAGTGAAGCAGTGAGACACATGGATATCTGTGTTGTGCAACAGAAAGTAGAGTTGCTGCAAAGATTCTGAGATTGGGGTGTTTTGGCCTAATCAAAAAACATCCATAAGGTCAGTGGGTCTGGAGTTCAGTGTGTAGAGAATAAAGAGATGTGTCAAAAAGGTAGCCAATGACCACATCATGAAGGGCATACCAGGTCAAGGTAAGGACTTTGGACATGATTCACAGTGAATTGGGTAGTCACTGGATGAATGACATGATGTGAGTTTTGTTCACAAGGGTCATGGTTTATGATATGGTTGACATATCTGTGGATAACGGACTTGGATTGTGGGTGAAGGCATCAAGATTACAAACAGGACCCCAGCTGAAAGGCTACTGCAGTAGTCCTGGCAGGGGAAGGTGGTGGCCTGGACCAGGGAGGCAATGGCAGAGATGATGGGACGTAGCTGATTGGGGGTTTATTTTGAATATACACAACAGGCATTCTCCATGAAATGGCCTTGTGGTGGGAAGAAGAGGGGAGAGACTGGGATGTGAAAAGTGAGAGTGTTAGTCACTCAGTCATATCTGACTCTTTGTAACCCCATGGACTGTAGCCCTCTAGGCTCCTCTGTTCATGGAATTCTCCAGGCAAGAATACTGGAGTGGGTAGCCATTCCCTTCCCCAGGTTATCTTCCCAACCCAGGGATGAAAAATGGGTCTCCCACAGTGCAGGCAGGTTCTTTACCATCTGAGCCACCAGGATATATGCCAGGTTTTTTGGCCTGAGCAGCTGGCTGAATATCCTTTCTCTTTCCCTTTCTGAATATCCAATGTAGTGCTCCGTGACATGTGGGCAAGGTAGGACGACCCGGCAAGTGGTCTGTGTCAACTACAGTGACCACGTGATCGATCAAAGTGAGTGCGACCCAGATTATGTCCCAGAAACTGACCAGGACTGTTCCATGTCACCATGCCCTCAGTGGACCCCAGACACAGACCTTTCTCAGAACCCTTTCCTGAATGAGGACTATCACCCCAGGAGCATCAGCCCTAGCCGCACCCACGTGCTCGGAGGAAATCAGTGGAGGACAGGCCCCTGGGGAGCGGTGAGTATTCCCACAAGTCTTTCCCGAATTTGCCTTCTTCTCTTTCACATGATAGAGTGCTCAGAGAGAAGCAGACTAGAAACACCTCTGGAACATTTTTATCTCAGGAGGGATTGATGTGCACTTTTCATTTGTTGGGGTTAATTGTAGTCCAGGAAGAGGTGTCAGTTGAGACAACTCTAAGCTACCTTAACCTCTAACCAGGTGGGGGAGGGGGTGTCGCTCCTGGGTGACTTGATCAGGCAGCTTCCTAGAAGGTACTGTGAAGGCCATGATGATTGATCGTGGAGCTGGCAGACAACTTCTCCTTACCTGAAGGAAAATTCAAAGGGCAGAAGAACTTTTCTGAAAGGAAATTTTTAATGAAAGTAATTTTCCTTCTTGCTATTTTCCAGATGAGTGCAGTCTTAAAGTGGCACAATTGCTATGCCATTTGTAGTAGCAGATTAGGAGAGAAACACTCAGCTGGGAAAAATCTGTGCTTAGAGGAAAAATACCATAACTGAATGGTTAACTGCAGAGGCTTTGAGAGAAGTTGCCTCTGTTTGATCCAAGGACTTGGACTTTCCAATTTTGGGGTCTTCAGCTGGTCCTCCCTCCAATTTGAGCCTGTTTCATCATCTCTAAAACAAAGTTAACAATAGTGGCGACTCTGCTGGGTTGCTGTAAGAATTAAACAAGCAATGCAAATACTGTTTCACACTCTCCCTGCCATAGAGTGAAAATTAAATGTTGATGATTATTGTTATCATCGTCTTTATCCTTCAAATTAGGAAGAACTTGACAAATAGTATTTAACATTCAAAGGAAAAATATGTTCTCAAAAGTTCTAGAAATTTTTACTGAATAGTTTTCCAAAAAATAATTATATTCTGGACTACTGGACATGTCTAAAGGAGCTATAGGAAGGGTAGGGCAGTAGGAGATCCTGGGGGAGGTTTGTAGAGTTTGGTGTTTATTAATCTCTCATGAAGTCTTCTTTTTAATTGTTTATTATTTGTTTCCTTCTAGTACTGCTAACCTTGTGTTTAATTATTTCTGAATTAAAAAGCATTAGAAGGAACCGGTCAGTTTTCTACCATGGTTATGTTTCAGTGAATTAGGCTTACTTTCCTGTGAATGTTGATGGCTCCTAAGGGTTTTTATACACTGCATGTCTTGATTGTAAGCAGAACATCTGCCTCAGACCTTCACCACCTCATTCTCCTCCCTTACTTTGCACTTTGAAACTTCTTTTGCCTGGGTTAAAGAAATTTGGGTTCTACGAAATTAAAGAGTGATCAAGTGAGGTCATCACAGAGTGTCCCATGATTTTTCCAGTTGAAAAAATTCACAGCTTAAACATGTGTATTCTAATGATAAAATTAGAACTTAAAAAAAAAATTGAAAGCTATTCTTATTTAGGACTACATTTGTGGATAATGCATTCCTTTAAGATTGAATGATTCTGCCCTTGGGCAGAGTTCCCAATTAAGGAGGATTAAGTAACCTTTTTGCAGCAATGGGCAATACCATTCTTCTCCTCATTGTGCCTGTTTTTTGTTTGGGGATTTTTTTTTTTTTTCTAAATTAAGTGAGGCTGAAGGTGGATGATGAGATTTTTCAGCTCTTGCTTGACTTGCCTGACTTACTCCCAGGAGTGTGTGGCATGCATATGCATCTCTTCGTGGCTTGGGGTGCTTGATTCTTCCTGACTGCAGCAGCAGGAAAGGCAGCAGAGAATTATGAACACTAGAGAATGGGAATCTAGCATTTTCAGTCGATTCTGGGATCAGAACTTCGTTTTCCAGGAAGTATTTGTGTAAACTCAAACCTTCTATGAGATTGTCAGTGTTAGCGACTAGGGGTCTCCGGTTGTAAGTGAAAGAAAAGGAACTGGTTCTTTCAAGGGAAGGCAAAACTGTTCATTTAGCCCCAGTAGAGACTGAGCCCAGAGCATCTTCAGGGATCTCATTGGGGGTTGGTAAATTTTTTCTGCAAAGGGCCAGATAATATTTTCAGCCGTGTGGACCACACAGTCTCTGTTGCAACTAACAGACTCTGCTGTCTTAGCACAAAAGCAGGCACAGACAGTATGTAAACAAGTGGACGTGGCTGTGTTCCCATAAAGCTTTAGTTATAAATGCAGCTGGCAGGCCGGATTTGGCCCCGAGGCTGTGGTTTGCCAGTTTAGATGGAACAATATCTATAAGGTCATTTCTTTAAGAAGTATCTATCTTAATGAACACTTTTCACTCTGAACCACCCTTGGGTTGCTCTGCTCAGGATTCTAATTCCCAGGCAAGTCTGATTGGCTCAGCCAGTTCCACTTACTCCTTGATCAGGAAAGTGTAGAACTTCTTAAAAGATGGTCCTACTGGGACTTCCCTGGTAGTCCAGTGATTTGAGACTCCACACTTCCACTGCAGGGGCGCAGGTTTGATCCCTGGTCAGTGAACTAAAGTCCTTCATACGGCATGGCATGGCCCCAAAAAAATACAGTCCCACTAAGGTGAGGTCCATTGATGGATTTCTTAAAGGAAAATCCAGCCTGCCAGATATCAGTGGGAAATATACAACAGATTTTAAAGAAACAAACAAACAGATGTCCATCATCTCTTGCTTCCCTAATGGCCATTCTCTCTTGTTTTGTAGAGTGTGGATGATAGATACAGGATTTGTTCAAAGGAATGTTTACCTAGGAAAATATGTTGTCTAAAGAGGATAGGAAAAGTGTTAACAAAAGTAGTCTAGAGTGAAATTCTGCAGCATGGGAATGGAACGAAGCATCCCTATTAATTAAAAAAAAGAAATGTGGCAAAATTGGACCTGGAGAAAGATCATGTACAATATTTCACCTGTATATGGGAGTATAAAGACTCTGGCTGGCCCTGGGTTTAGAATGGTGCAGTGCGAGTTCTAGACTGTGCTGTGCAGTTACTCGGCCCCCAGCTGACCTCTGTCTCTGGTCAGAGTCTCTGTAGGAAGCGTTGGACTGGTCACTAGGCAGCCAGTGCATTAAGCTGACCGTGGCTCTGTTGTCCTTCCTTGCTCCACTCTGCCATATTGAAGGGAGGATAGCCTGTGGTTTATGAAACTATTCCTTCCGGAAACTCTAATCATGTGACCAGCATTGTGGAACCTACTAGGGATACAAGTATGATATTGAAGTTCTCTAAGGAGACTTACCATTTTGTTGGGGACAATAACATAGGTGAGATAATAAACAGATGAATCAAGATTTTATTATCAAAGGAAAAATCCAAGGGCCAAAATATATATTCCAAATCCCTCTTTACTATTGAAGGTCTTTCCTAAGATTTCAAATTCTTGGCCCCAAACAAAGCCAATTAAAATAATAGTTCTCTGTGTTATGTACTAAGCTATTTAAAAGTAGAAAACAAGTATTTTTAAGTTTAGAGTAAGTATAACAGAACCTTCAGAGAATAGAGGTGGGATTTTTTTAAATCAAAATTTCCTAAATAATTGCTCAGACAGAATTAATAAATCTATTTTCCTGCTCTGCATTTAAAAAACTAAGCTCAGTATATTTGAAAATCATTCATAATTTGACCAACATTGGCAGGGAAATTGAACTAAAGTCCAGTACAATAAGTAAAAAACTTTTTCATATCTTTATATAGAAGGTGACCAGCAAGGAGCAGTATTTACAATTATTTTTAAATAACACTAGTTTGAGCTAGAGTTTGATAGCACATATCAACCATTGGAACCTGGAACTCAAAACAATGTTGTAAATACAGTTTGAGACTTGATAAGTCGTGAGAATTGCACTGCTTAGAGGACTTGATGGTTTTTTTTACAGGCAAACAGATTTTACAAGTTAAGGGTCAGAGTGAAGGAGACTAGCAAACACATCGGGTTTCAAAAGATAAGGAAAAAATGGAAAGAAAAAAAAACACTCAAGATGCAGATAAATAAGAGAGCTATGAGAAGCTTGTGTGAGAAATAAGCTTGAAGGCTGACCATAATTCTGTGGTAACCATGAGAAAAATGGCTGGGCTCATGCACCTGAAGAGAAGTTTGTCAATATGGAATTCAAGTTCATTGGGGAATAAGAATAAAGAAGAAAAACAAATCTCGCTACATTACGTACGAAAGTAGAGGATTTTGTGAAGGGAGAGAAGGGAATGTTAGCTGAAAGGAAATGATATGTAAGTGCATTCCATGATGTTTTCCTTGGATAACTGAAGGAGTTAGTATAGAAGCTTAATTTCAACAACTGCCATTCAATTGCCATTCCTCAAGCGAGTGATTTGACCCCTGTGTTGAAAGGGATGTTAAATGTTGGTTCTAAATAAGTGCTAGCAGTTTTGAAAAGAAAAAGAATTTCCCAGTAGACTGTGGTGTCAGTCAGTACGTCTGCACCTTTCCTAGTTGCAGAGGATGAATCGGATTGCTCTCGAAATCACAAGACATGATCACTCATTAGGCAGTTCCTAAACACCTACTGAGACCTAACAGGCACAAGGGGGACGTGGTGTTTCTGCCCTCCAGATACCGCTAAGACCTGAACACTAAGCAGCTCCATGGAAGGGAGATGCTCAGGATTACTTTCTGTCCATTGTGGACGGCTTGAGAGTGGTTTCTGCCACGTTTGTCTCTGACCCTTCAGCCAGCTGCCTTCTGTGTCCTCGAGGCGGGGCTGAGGCGGGGATTAACCTGTTGACCGATGCTGCTGTGTTCAGTGTTCCAGTACCTGTGCTGGTGGGTCCCAGCGGCGTGTCGTTGTGTGTCAGGACGAGAATGGATACACTGCCAACGACTGCGTGGAGAGAATCAAACCTGATGAGCACAGAGCCTGCGAATCTGGCCCTTGCCCTCAGTGGGCTTATGGCAGCTGGGGAGAGGTGAGAGCAAACTCCACTTATACATCCTTTGGGAAAAAACAAATGCCAAACAGTGCTGTTGTTCACAGTTTATTTGAAGGAAGAAGAACTGGCTCTAGTTAAAGCTTCTTGACTTCAGATTAACTAGGAGATCCATCTTAATTCTGGACTATTTTAAAAGTGTGTTTATTACCATATAGAGGTGGCTTGACTACATAGGAGAGATGAGTTAGGAAAGAATACAGATAATGCTAGTTTAAAATGTTAACCTCTGCTGATTAAAACATGGGTGCTTTTAAAGTGACTGGAAATGTGTGTTAAATTAATTAATGGAAGTTTTGCCATCTTCATAATTTGGGGGTGTTTGTGGTGCACCCTTGTTCTCATGGCATTGTGTCTCCCAATATTTCAAATTCATAATGAACCAGCTGTTGTTCATCAGGGATTAGGAGCTGTTATTCTTATCAGAGGTGATGCATTGTAATCATAGAAGTGAATAAGTAGCTGTATAGCCTCAAATAATGAAATTCTTCAGCTCTTAACCTTTTAAGAATTGCTTGCTATGAAAATAGAGACACAGGTATAGAGAACGAATGAATGGATACCAAGGGGGAGTGGGGAGGAAGAATTGGGAGATTGGGATTGACGTGTATACACTACTGTGTATACAATGGATAGCTAATGAGAACCTACCGTAGAGCACAGGGAACTCTGCTCAGTGCTCTGTGATGACCTGAATAGGAAGGAAATCCAAAAAAGAGGGGATATATGTAAACATATAACTGATTCATTCCACTGTACAACAGAAACTAACACAAAAGCTACTGCTTTTGTACTACTAATTGTAAAGCAACTCCATGCCAATAAAAATTAATAATAATAAAAAAAGGATTATCAGCTATGATTGATGAAAGGCTGTAGAATATTTGGAGCAGACAAAATTGGGCCCCTGTCCCAGCCCTGGCTCTTACAAGCTTTGTGGCTTTGACAAATAATATAACTTTGCCAAATATCTGTATTCTCATCTGTACATGAGAATAATAATGGCACCCACTTCATAATATTCATGTTTATTATATGAGATTAGTTAGTTAAGTCGCTCAGTTGTGTCCAACTCTTTGCGACCCCATGGACTCTGGCCCACCAGGCTCCTCCGTCCATGGGATAAGAGATAGTGCACATCAAAACCTAGCCCGTAGACTTCAATCATAGTTAATTGCTATTATAATAATGATAATCTGTTATTACTGCTAATAATAACTATCATTAGTATTACTATATTATTAAATGGGGTTTTAAGCCACTATCATGTGTAGGACTTAGATGTTTATTGTTTTGTATTTAATTAAAAGAGAATATGTATTTCTACTCTTGAATCTACAGGGAGAATACATACTTAGAGTTTGTTGAATTGTTCTGTCTTGACTATAGAATTTATAAAATAAAACACAAGGATTAACATCATGGAGGCCCCCTGTGCCCACCAAGAGGGGAACAGAGACACATGAGATGGAGGGGCATGTTAGTCTACACCCCTTCGCTAATGGAAATCCCGTGTCCACATTTCATGCTCTCATTCACGTAACCTAGTAGTCATAGGTGCTCATAACAGAGTTTTGTTAACTTTTGTTGATAGTACGTCATTCTGGAGGGCTTTGCTGAAAGACCGGAAAGGGAAGTCAGGTTTGGAGACGCATATATTGTGGGTTTCCTGAAACTCCTCGTAAAGCTCTGTCCCATGAGGCCTGTGCGTAAGCTTCTGTAATTGGATTGAAGCCAGGAGAGTACACGCATTTGCCGGGATGCTGGCTGTCAGCACGGACCAGATCATTCCAAATTCCATGGGAGATCTGGCCTTGACACAGCAGGGGAACGAACAGTGTTCCTGGATGTAAGCTCCACGGTACTGTCCAAGAAATACAACTTGTTCCTGTCTCAGAAGCATGGGTCCAGCCAATAGTCAGAACCGTATCCAGCATTCCCACCACACTGTTGACTCATCCTAGGGGAATGCCATCATTATCCTCAGATTCAGAGATAGCATAAAATATTTGGATGTCAGAAAGGTCTACGGAGACTGGAGTCACAGAATAGCCAAGAGGTTGGTGACAACTTCCTAGAGGTTGCCAGAAAAGAAACCAGCTCAGTCATTATATCCTTTATTTGGTACTAAGTGGTTTTTAGATTTTTATCTGTTTCTTTGATTTTTGGGCTTTGAATACCTGAAAGAAAAGGCTGTAATCTTATCCTGGACACCTGCTGCTGAATTGACCTTAATCAAGTTATGCTCTCTTAAGTTCAGTTGCCCTATATAATTAACACTCTCCTCTTGATGAGATAACATATATATAGCCATTTAGTACAGATGAAGAGCAAATGCTTAATAAACAATAGCTACCATGAAAGGGAGCTTCCCTTGTGGCTCAGATGGTAAAGAATCTGCCCGCAATGCGAGAGACCCAGGTTCAAACCCTGGGTTGGGAAGATTCCCCTGGAGAAGGGAGTGGATACCCACTCCAGTATTCTTGCCTGGGAAATCCCATGGACTGAAGAGCCTTACAGGCTACAGTCCATTGGATCACAAAGAGTCAGACACAGCTGAGCGACTAACACACACAAACGCATCATTAAAGGGCAGGACTCCAGTCTGCTGTACATATTGCTTTTGGTAGTTCAGCTTCATTCTGCCTATAGGTTTATCTTGCCTGGTGCCATAATCTATCTTGGCTAAAACATTTTTCTCATGGGGAAAGAAAATTTGCCACTGGCTGTTCAGGCAGAATAACTGCAACCTTCCTTTCTCTTCTTCCAGTGTACCAAGCTGTGTGGTGGAGGCTTGAGAACAAGGCTGGTGGTCTGTCAGAGGCCCAGCGGGGAACGATTTCCGGATCTGAGCTGTGAAATTCTTGACAAGCCTCCAGATCGAGAGCAATGTAACACACATGCTTGTCCTCAAGATGCTGCCTGGAGTGCTGGCCCTTGGAGTTCGGTACGGCCCTAACTATTCATGTTTGCTAACTAAAACTAACACTCCAATTCCAAGGTGCTCTGGGTCACTCCTTTGAGACAGGTAGTCCTCCTCACAAGGGCATCCCTGGAACTGTACTATACACAGTCTGTTCTTTTCTTCATATTGACATGCAACAAAATTCATTTTTTTAAATGATATTGCCAAAGTGACTTTACAGGATACATGTACCTCATACAGGCCTTTTGCCAATGCCAAAAGGTAGCATCCTTTCCTAGAACTAGACTATATATATTTATGTGTGTTTTTTTTTTAAGAAACTCTGTGCCATTTTTAAACTCCAAAGTGATTTAAGCAGACAACTCAGAAGCAGACATTCTTTCTTTTTCTAAGCTGATGGTATTGACTTTGGCGGGAAGATACCTGCTTATTGAGGCCAAAGCAATTTTTGATTCAGTGACTATACTTTGCCTGTGTGACTCGGGTACAGCTCTCAACACAATCACCAAAAAGGCTGTGCCCATAAAATCAACTGAAATCATTTGGAAAATTCCAAAGACAAACAGTGGACTCAGTGACCTGATGCCATTCAAGGCATCTAAAATGTTCTCTCTTCTATCAAGACACAAAGTCCGTTTGAGACTGGTTTTTCCTTTGGTCCTAGACTTCCTTTGTCATCTGCTTTTAAACAACATTGTGAGACAGATTTGGCTCTATAAATACTATGCAGACTTCTGGGGCAAATCTTGGCAAACAGAAGGATCAGCTGTGTCAAAACAATACTGTGGCTAATTGGTGCCACAGGTATTGAGCCATTAAGGTTGTTTCATGTAAATAGAGTAAACTTTCCTGTGAATGCAGTAATCGCACTGAAGCTGAGTTAATATTATGTGAATTCACATCCAGAAGCCTTGTTTTGTTCTATAGGGTTCTGAGAAAAACCTTAACCATTCCTGAAAGCAACTAAAGAGCAGATTAACTGATCTGACATGGCTACTAATCTGTTGACACTTCCAAGAGTCAAAGGCTTCAAGGTTAGAGGTTGTATTTATAAATAGAACACTAGCTGCATAACTACTGTACTCTGTGTTAAGTAGAAATCTAGAAGAATTAGAGCATTATCTTAAGTAGTACTGTTTATCTGGGCTGTACGGATTTTATTCAAAGGCAGTTCAGATGTATTGTTCACCCAGAGTATTTTGTCAGCAATACTGGCACTCTCCCTAAATGAACATTTGGAAAAAGATCAGAAATAACCTTAGAATGTCAGGAACATCTTCTGACATTCCAGCTTCCGTAAGTCACCTGTTATATATTATATTTCATGAAATTTTCCCTCTTGAGCCCATTATAGTTTCATCCTTTTCACTCAGCCAACACCAACACCACACTATAGTATATATCAAAATATGTAGTAGCTCTCCAAAAAGTTGTGTTTCTTTAATACTCACCAAGAAACATCTCCTAACCCTCAGAATATGTGTGTATATATAATATAATAATAATATATTATTATACATTATATATTGTATATAGCATATATACAATATATCATATATATATAAAAGTTTCCACGGCATTCTCATTCTTGAACACTTTCTAAACACAGTTTAATTTCTTTTACACTGGATCGCCACCCTCTCCCATAGATACTTTAAGAGTTTAAATGCTTAAATTTTAAAACATGATCTTCTAAATAATTTAACTAAAGACTTCAAGTTTTTCTTATTATAGTTCTTGTTCTTGGGCCTGCACATAGTTTTCTGCAACATACAGCGAAAAGGAGAGATTCTAAATGCTCTGTAATGCACCAAAGCAAATACATGTGTTTTGAAATGCTTTTGCTGCCTATATGATTTTAACACTTCCTTTATAAAGTAACATTATTCAAATATATATTTAAATGCCTCTGCATCATGGGAACAAGGCCACTTTTACAAGGCTTTTCATGGTGATTTTTGAAAATCAACTAAATCAAAAGCATTTTATTTAAATAGATCCATTTGTAATATATGACTTAAATTATGCAAGGGCAGCCTTTCAGATTCTTATGGTAGAATTTGGATTTTACGTGTATGTTGATTTTTATGGATGCTTTGGTACCATTTCTTAGTAATTCTAAATTGAAGCATACCTCAGTGAATTGTGTTGATAGCCATAAGCCACTTCTATGGTGCTTCATCATTGTAACTGACAGTGACATTAACAACAAGAAAAACTATATTGGAGGTGCTAACATGTTGCTTTCAAGAGAAAGCAAACTAGATTTATTAGAGACCAAGGGTAGCCATTAGTCCCTCTCTGGCCAAGTTGCTTTCTTATCCCGAGTACCCCCACGCAGGAGATAGTGTTGAGAAGCAACTACTGCTGTGTGAGTAGGTCTTTTCCAAGGTCGAAATAAAGATAGCTTAATCCAACAATTGTTACTAAGGAGCGATATTTAGGAAAGAAACTCCAAACGGCTGTTAGCACAGTTTCCAGACTCTAAAATGAAGCTTTTGTGAATGTAGGGTTCAAGTACCCATTTTAAGGCTGTTAGGAGCCTGATAGGCTGCAGTCCATGGGGTCGCTAAGAGTCGGGCACGACTGAGCGACTTCACTTTCACATTTCACTTTCTTGCACTGGAGAAGGAAATGGCAACCCACTCCAGTGTTCTTGCCTGGAGAATCCCAGGGACAGGGGAGCCTGGTGGGCTGCCATCTATGGGGTCACACAGAGTCGGACACAACTGAAGTGACTTAGCAGCAGCAGCAGCAGCAGCAGCAGTAGTTCTGGCTCAAATCACCAGAGATTTAGAATCATGATTGTTGAAAATACCTTCCCTAGATTTTGTCTTTTCTGTCCTGTTTTGAATGCGTCCTGAGACTCTGACTTGGCAATGTGTTGTTTTTGAAATAAGGTTCTTAACACTGATTTGCCTATTGCATGCACACATCCTGTGACTAGAGGGATAAATTGGAAAGAGAGCTGTCAAACTATAGTGAGGAATGGGTTAAAACTCTGTAGCATTCTAGAGTAAGTCACTTCGAGATAACGAAAGTTGAAAAGGTTGCTAATCTGTCCAAGATGGTCATCTAACTTTCCTTTTCTGCATTGCCCCATTGGCACTAGTGGTAAACAACCTGCCTGTAAGTGCAGGAGACATAAAAGACATGGCTTCAATCTCTGGGTCAGGAAGATTCCCTGGAGGAGGGCATGGCAACCCACTCCAGTATTCTGGCCTGGGAAATCCCATGGACAGAGGAGCCTGGTGGGCTGTAGTCCATAGGATTGCAAAGAGTTGGACCTGATTGAAGCGACTTACCACAGGTATATCTGCTTGCTGACTGCCTTGGAGGCCATGGTTCTCCTTAGGAGGAATTGCTTGTGTGAATTTTTCCTGACAAACGTAAAAGTGTTCTCTGAGCCTTGCTTTAGGTGCTTTGCAGTAATGCCTGTCAACCCGAATAGTGAGAATTGATCGGCTCATGAAGGAACTGTGCTTTTGTTTCTGCCTGATCAATTTATGAATTTGTGTCTACCTCATTTTCATATGAAAGTTTGCAGTTTCTGTAGGTAGGAAGAGAAAATGTCTGACATCAGTGTTTTATCACCTCGCTGCATCTATCTCTAGGAAAAATAAAGACTGTAAATATCACTATCATACTTTCTGAGTACAATTTTAAGCAGCCAAGCCTAGTGTTATCTGAATATTTTGAGCAGTACAGATTTCTATGTGTTTATATAATAAAGCATATTTATTTTTTCCATGTTATTTAATTTTATATACAATGTTTAAAAATCAGTGTTTTATCAGCAGACTGTAAAGGCAAAAATAGTCTGTGTGCCTAGAAATGCGTGTATATGTTTCCTTTGGTTTTAAAAAGACACTTTTTAATTTTGTAAATCTCTCCCAACCTGTACTATCTCTCTCCCAAATTTGAGTAACCATGTGGCAAGCTTTATGTAATTGGATAGTTTAAAATGTATATTTTAAAGGGATACTTTAAAAAATATTTCTGAATTTGGAAATGATGCTTAGTGATATAAACAAAAATATAAGAGACTTAATTAACGTTTTGTTGCTTTTTCTTTTTTTTCTTTTCTAATACTGTTGTCCTGATTCATTGAGTCTCAACTATGAAATATGTATGCTGTTTATTGAATTTGTAGATAATGATAAGGCATAGCCAGAAGTCAAAACAAGTAATTAGGAGAAATGGTTCTGAACATGTCAGAGGAGCCAGGTACATGGAAAAGCTCACCCTAATGCACACCAATTTGATCATAACTTATTCTTTTTGTTCAGATAACTGTAAAAGACTTAGAACATTTGTCAATTTTGTGATTTATACACCTGCAATACTTATCAGAAGCATTTCTCATTAAAGAAAAATAAAGAAAACAACCATAAACTTGTGTTTTAAGAGAACCTATACTTTTCAAAGAGTGATAAATCATAAAGATGACCTCAGATCTCTACTGATTCCACATTGCCCTACTGAACCTCCATTTTGCACTGTAGTTTCTTATGATAATTGAAGGGGAAAGAGCAAAATAAGGAACTCCCTATATGCATTTGAGGACTTCCTTGGTAGCTCAGAGGGTAAAGCATCTGCCTTCAATTCAGGAGACCTGGGTTCAATCCCTTGGTGGGGAAGATCCCCTGGAGAAGGAAATGGCAACCCACTCCAGTACTCTTGCCTGGAAAACCCCATGGATGGAGAAGCCTGATGGGCTACAGTCCATGGGGTCACGAAGAGTCAAACACGACTGAGTGACTTCACTTTCACTTTATAGGCATTTGAGGGTTGTTTTTTTTTTTAAGGAGGTGCTGTATTAGATAGCATCTCCAAAGCAGAAGATGCTCCTAGCATTTACTCAATATTTATTAGGTACCAAGTCAGGCTAAGGAAATTGGTGTCACATTTAACCCCCATGTGACCATGCTGAGAGAGGTATTTTTATGAATCTGTTTGAATGTGTGATAATCTGTTGAGTACTTTAGTGATAAGACTTTTTTTGAAGAAGAAGAAGAAAG